ATTATTCTAAAACTTAGACTAAACTAAGATTAATACTAAGACTACAACACTAAACAGTAGTTATTCTGTATGTTCAATAAAACCACTATAACGAGAAATGCTTAATTAACGACTTGACTGAACTATATCTTTTAAATTAACATCGTTCTCTTAACATAGATTACAGCTAAAAACTTTTTTAAAGGATAATATAAACTCTAATCTTCTTGTGATAAGAGGCATTATTCTGTGTCAACAAACAATTACAAATTGTTAAAAAGTATAGACTAAAGTGGGTATTAGTTAAATTTTTAACAAATTCAATTTGACTGAATAATGCCATTTTACTATAGACAAAGAGAACAAATTCTGACTTTATGTAAAAGTTACCAAAAATTATATGTTTTGATTATTGTCAAATTTTCAATAATAGTACTTTACGATATCGTTGACACTCTGCAAGTAACAATTCTATTTTCGTACAGATTATCAAAGAAAATCACTATTAGAATAATACTTTGATTGCTGTTTAACTATTTGTTTAGATATATATAAACGAAAATTTTGCGCCTACATTTATTTATTTATAAATGTATCGAACACATTTTTCACTGGAGCTTCATCACTCATTTCCACAATATGACCAACCCGGAAAAACCATATGGAGTCTATATAATAACATCAGGACGACAAGAAATGCACTGATATTTTTCAAGTAAAAAGCAATCAGACATGTTGCGTAGTGTACTCACTCCCTGAGGCTTACTTAATGTTATAATAAATTAATTTGCTGGAAAGATGTTCAATTGAAAAGATATGCAGCTAATTTAGCATTATGGTTGATGAACAGAAACAGACAAGAATCTTCATAAATTGTTTAATGTTGCAACCTAAGATTGCATTCCTGAAACTACCGAGGTGGTGATATCTTCTGAGATCGTAAATATATCGCGTCAAGGAATTGATTAATCTTGTTAACTTAATAAAAGACACCGTATCTATTTTACAATAAACTAAAGAGGAAAACATTAAAATAAAATATTGTAATATAATTCTGATATTAATATATAAAAATATATCAAGTTAATTAAAAGATTTAAAGATATTTTTATATTGACTTATGAATAATATAAACTATCAAAATAAGAACAAATTTAATTTTTTTTTAAATATATATAACTAATATTTACATGTATAAGTTTAGGGTCTAAAACTTATTTTATTGTTAACAAACCCTATTTACATGTCAGCAAGGTGTACCCAAGCGCCTAAAGGATATCATAAAATACAGCTAAAACAACATTAATGTCATTTTTTCCGCATTTACAAAGCAACAAATAATCAAATCAAAAGCTCAACAAAACAAACATATGCGCCCTTACTTACATCACACAAACGAAATAATGTATATATAAATATGTCAGGGGAAATATGCTGACATCGAGTGTCAAAACAGTATTTCCGCTAACAAAGTAAGTTAAAAAATATTGAAGCCGAAAGCCGATACACTTCGAATTGTTTGCTTAAATACAACCTAGTACACCCGCTCTCATCATCTTATGTTCTTATGTTGTGTTGTGTAGAAAGTATTTCGCCGGCAACTTCCACAAAATACACAACAGATAGCCAAACATCGAAGCGCTTTTTACACAAGCAGTTAAAAATCCGTAGAACGCCTTTTCGTTGTTATTCATGGGCACTGTATAGGTTTCAGCCAATGCCTTTATAATGTCGCACCTTGCATTGGCTCTCTATAAACTGTTATGCTCCAGTATGCTTAGTCGTTTACGTTCACATTGACCTATATTCCAAAGAGTACACAACCACACATATAATCACAAGGATTCCAGTGCTTATTATTTATGTATGAAGACTATTTTGATTTGAATTACTCTGGCGTTTAGCTCCATTGTCATAACAAAAAATGTCATCTGTGGCTGAGAACAATACTCATTGCAATGCCATTCAGCACTGACTTCGCCATAATCTGTTTTTGGTTTAAATTAAATTGTAAAAAATAATAAAAAAAAATAAAAATATAGGGAAAATTTACTGAAAAAGATATGTTTTATGTGTACTACGGGCACACTGATTTTTCACTGTCATTTTTTTTTTTTTGTTTTTTTTCTTTGCTTTTTGAGATGAATTATTTTCAAACAAAATAGGCATTATTCTTTTTTTCATAAATTTTTTTTTTTTTTGCTGTTTCGTCTGTTCCAAATGACGCTCCACATGATAAATTTTGCAACATGTTGACTGAGCAAATATTTAAGATAGTTTCCGCTGTTATTTCACTTATGTACGTCACTGTTTCCTCTCTGTTACCACTAGCTTTCTATGTAGATATATAAGTATTATTTTGTTGAAATTGTAAAGTTACAGCCAAACACATACAGACATATAGATAAATACATCAAAACGTATGAATTTATTCTTTTCAAAATATGCACTGCACTTTTCTTTCCTACTCCATGGCAGTCTCATCCGCTTCGAAGTCAATAGCTTTAGCCTTGGCAATCGTGAGTGGTTTGGCAGCGCGCAGTGCAAGTAGTAGTCAATCGGTAGTGCAGGTGGGGCATAGTTTTCAAATCGCTTTGAAATGTGTTTACATTTTCACATTTAAATTGACTTTTAAATGTTGTCATTAAATTTATCTGAATTGAATTATTGACAATAAGAACAGCCAATTCAAAGGTCTGACAAAGGTTGAAGTAACCTATTTTTCTACTGACATGAAGTAATACCTTGCGAAATGTGCATTTATTGTGAACTGATATCATTAAAAGGCACTCATTGTATGCAGTAGCATGTCACTTGTCTGATTGTTTTTCATTTATATTAGATTTCATTTAAAATAAATTGCATTTTTGTTATAAAAAGTTTAGTTTGAAAAGTCCTTTTAACCAATAGTACTGAGGATACTATATTAATAATTTAATTGAACCTTGAAAATCTTTAAAGCAATAGTGACAGTTACATTACCTTTTGAATGAAAATAGTTTTGTTTAATTATTCGTATCATAAAATTCGAATACTATTGTGTATTCGAGCCAAAGGATAATATTAGGTCTGGTATCCCTCTTCAGCAGAACAAAGTTGAGATTGCTGGTGGGATATTTAACGGGTTACCATTGGCTGCGTTATCACCTTAAAAAAATAGATCTGTCCAAAGAGATGGAGTGTCGACTCTGCTTAGAAGCAGACGAGACTTCTAGTCGCATTTTCTGTGACTACCCAACCTTGATCTGGGCCAGGAAGAATTCACTAGGAGGAGAGCTGCTCTCCCCTTCTGACATTAAGAGGTTCTCAACGGACGACATTCTGGCTTTCATTCGGAAGGCGGAATATCTTCTGTTCGCAGTGCTCTACTCCGTCGGAAGCTAGTACCCCATTCATTCCTATTCCTATTTCTAATATTAGGTCTATTCTTGTTACAATTGTCGGCAAAATGGAGCACTCGTCGCCAGTGACGAACAAGTGCCGTTCAACATCTCCCAAAGAGACTTCACAAGCAGGTCCCTGTGGGTTACAACAACAATAATAATAATAACAACGACATGGTAATTCTGAAAAAACTGGATATTTTTGTTTTGAGACCTGAGAGGTTTATATATGCAAATATACATATTCGCAAAACACGTGAATTTAGAGTCAAAATTTCGAAAATGAATAACAATTTTTAACACTCAATGAGTGGCAAAAATAACAACTACGTAATACAAATAATTAACAAAACTATTAACTATTAACTGGAATATTTGTGCGTACCAAAAATCATTCACAATAGATAAATTTTTAGTCTTGGCAATCATGCGATTTGAGCTGCTTTCAAGTGGTTTCAAAGAAGTTGGAGTAAATAAGCAAGCAGTAGTGTTGTTTCATATGCTATTTTTAAGATATCCGGTTGTTTCTTTGCAATATCCTAACAAAAGAATATACCTCTTGTTAAATTTTCAGATACAAAGAAAACTCTTCTAAAGGACACTCTCGTTAAAAGTACATCCCACTTGAGTAAGCAATTTTTCTAAAATCCAATTTTATTTTTAGTTTTATTTAGAACAATTTAATCTATTTTGACCGTATACGGGTTTTAAGAGAACAAAAGTTTGTTTTTCACTTTACTTGAATTCTAGATATATGAAATTCCTATCTCAAAACAGTAATTATTCATTATAATTTAAACCGTATTACAGAAAATATCAATCAGGTCTTTAACATTTCTGCTTTCCTATTGCTTTACATTGATCTTTTAAATCGTCACAAGAAACTGAATAAGTTTTTCTTATTATACAAAATACAAAATACCACTCTATTAAAAAATCAATTCCTTACTGAGTGTTAATAAAAGTTTTTCTGGAATCATAGTGTATTCGTACTCTGGTGGTAGGGTTCCAGAAATTTATATTGTTGGTACATGGCCACCACAGTTCCTACATATTTTTCTTTTCGAAGTCTATTTCTTTCTTTAAATAATACGACACAATTATTTTGGCATGTATATTAGCAATTTAAGTACAAATAATCTATAGCATTATTTTCCTAACAATTGTTAACCAAGTTTTTG